CTTCCATCTCTTTAAACTCAAAACTTCATCATTCAGAATATAGCCATTCTCATCTCTTATAGCATTCATTATAGGCTGTTTTGAACGTCCCCTGGCAGTTCTTACGAGTTTCCAGAACATTTTAATATTTGCCTGGAAGTTATCCGATATTCTTCTATCATTCTTATCCGTTCTTTCTTGCTTTTTCCTTTCAACTACTTCTTTTACTCTTTTATTTAGATGTCTAAAGACTGCCTTTTTTCTTTCAAAATCATCATTCGTACCGCTAGAATTACCAGCCTTAGTTGCTAGTAAATCTAGCCATGCTCTCTTCTTTGCTTCAACTTCCGTACGTATCTCATCATCCCACCACAAAGTATTATTTTTCCTTTCATTCTTTCTTTTACTAACACCACATACTTCGGTAGCTGCATCTACTAAACCTTTCTTAACATTTTGCCATACATTCTCCAAGTCTAACTCATTCATACATAATTCATCCAAACCACTTACGTTTTCTTTCAGTCTACATTTAAACTTGTTTTTTTCACCTTCATCTTGTAATCTTTCTGTTCTAATACGCTGTAACGCAGTGGTAGTCACAGTGGTAGAGGCAGTGGTAGGTAGGTAGACACAGATGACCGATGGCGCCACCGCCTGAATAGACCATTAATTCGGCATAAAACCAAAAAATGATCCGTTCCTACGTTTGACCCCCGGTAAACCCTTGTATCCACCACTGCGCCCTTCAATCTTTCATCCACAATTATGAAATCTATCATGCTTCTATCATCTCCTCTTTCCCAAGTATACATGTGAATCCTCTTGTGGCGAAAGAAAGTGTTCGTCACAAAAAGATTCTTTTCCATACATACAGTGAGGAGGCTTTCACCATTCTCATTTATACTTTCATCATCAAATGTTCCCAATATCCTTTCATAACCAAGCCTCCTCACCCCAACTCTTCCATTAAAATCTCCTAGCATAACATCATTTTCATTTCCCTTACATTTCATTAATACCATCCTTACCATTTCCCAAAACTGCTCTCGGATATGAGTGGGCTTAGACATGTCTGGGGCGTAGACCCCTAGCACAAACAACTTCTTTAAGCCCACTTTCAATCGTATCCATAGCAGTCTTGGGCTTACACATTCATACTCTTTCACACATTGCACCATTCTTTCTGATAGGATGATACCTACTCCCTGGCATGCCCGCTCGAGCTCGTCTACACCAGACCAGTATGCGGTATACATGCCATGTGTAGTGACATCCTTTCCCTTCCGTTTCGTCTCATTTACACATAACAAATCTATTCCTCTATCATACATCACCTCGCATACTTCATCCATTTTATCATTCATTGCTCCACATACATTCAACGTAGCCAGACGGGCCTCTGCAATCCTCTTTTCGCCCCTCCGAGAGACAGAACGTGACGGGTGGCGAGCCTCGTCGCCGGTTTTCCTCCCGGAGATTCTTCGCACCCCTGCCCCATTAAGGGGGGCGCCGGGAACTCGGGGCCATTTCTTTACAATCCCACCATATACACAGCATCACCTTATTGCGTGTTAATCCGGGTTTCGCTACAATCTGTAGAACTTGACTACCTTTTGACCATGGTTTTTTTCGCACGTTCTTGTCGTAGGTGATTTTTTTTCACTTTTCATCACCAGTGATCAATATTTTCAAAAATTGTTCGGTTCATTACGTTTCAATAGAGAATCTCAAATGAGTACATGATTCATTAGGTTTCTTTCAGTAAGCTCGTGTGGTACCTACCCAAATATCGAGCTTTTTTGTACTCACACTTTTTCAAATGGGTCAAAACTGTTTTATGGTCAGTCCTTTACATAAAATCAAAAGTGAAACTGAAATACCTGAAATAGCTGATAAAGGGTCAAAAAACGCGCGGACGCTGAACTCTTTTTATCGAGCTCGGTACGAAACAATACATTAGGTATTACTGTATTTACGCTCACTCTACCCTTCCCTTTCACACACATGTTGCGGCGTTGCCAAACCGAAATTTACTTACTAAAATTTGCAAGTGAAATAAGAATTAGAGGCGGCAATCACAATAAAACTTGGAATTAATTTTAATAGTTTTGACTTACCTCTTTTTGAATTCAAAGTATGGGACGGATGGAAAAAGGACAGTCAATTAAAAATAATTTTTTAGATTAATTCTGATAGATTTGTTAACTATCGACCATTGTTGCAATTGATTTTTACTACTAAATTATTCAGTACCATTTCATTTCCATTTTGTTATACAAAATCAAAGATAACGATGAAACTTTGTTTATAATTGTGTAACTGAGTACCCAATTAGGTACGTTTATTAATTTCAATATCATTTTTGTAATAACGAACTGCTTGTTGCGTCAGGGTATAAATTAATTGTCTAATTGTATTAAAAAATGACAACTATAACTTCTAAATTCCATATGAAGACTAGTCGTTGGTATACCTAAACTTATAAAATTAAAGTTCGGAATGTCGTAAAGGTTTAATTAGTACTGATCTGATCAGAATAGGTACATGACTGAATACATCAGAATGATAAACATACACAGACGATGGATAATTTAAGTAAATTTTACATTAGCGGGGAATCCAAACAACTATTTAGTATATTGAATCTGTGAATTCGAATTAAAGTGGCTAGGTGGAGACTAGTACAGTGGCAAAATAGAAGGTTAAGTAGATAAGTTAGGTATTTAGACAAGTTGTAAATTATTAGTTATTAGTACCGAGTGGATTCGGTGTCGTCACGCGTACGATGAGATTGTCAGCTAGATTTTAGGTATTGAAGTTTCTCTGCTGCTTTTATTTTCATGTATTTCCATTTTTTTAATAAAAATATTGTTTAATTTAGCTGTACTAACACGACAGAGCGTGAATAAAGCTAATTAAACGTTGTAATAATTTATTTATTTCCATCTTGATCGATTATCTTTTTGTACCATCATCAGAGGTAGCCTTCGTACTATCGTCTGTATTTGTTTTCGGGATCGTTTCAAAAATACCCGTTATTTTATAAATAACTGTAAATTAAACTTTGCATAAAAATGTTTTGAATTTTTATATAAAATACGAAGAAACTTTTACCCCGATAAGATTTTAATATTTAAGAACTGGTATCCTAAGTTTAAATGAAAGCTGTATTGGTTTTTCTAAGACAATTCAATTGTTACCATCTACAACTAAATCTATTAAAATCGAAAATAAAATGAATTTAAACTTTTATATCACAGAAGACGATTGTTGTTATAAAGATCGAAGTATTAAATAAATCGATCCCATACTTATCTCCTATATCTATAACTAGCCTAGACATGGAAACTGTGAAATATTCTTATCCTTTCTTAAACAATTCAGAAAGTGAGATCAAAAAACTTCAAGAACAATTTTATGTTATCAAAATGTGGTAACTATTATTTATCATTTACATCACCATCATCATCATCATTACAGCCCTTCACAAGTCCACTGCTGAACATAGGCCTCCCCCCCTCCCAAAGTATGCCACAAAACACGGTCCTGAGCCACCTGCATCCATCGACTTCCTGCATGTCTTACCAGGTCGTCACTCCATCTAGTGGGGGGTCGCCCTACACTACGCCTACCGGTACGAGGCTGCCACTCGAGAACGTTTTTTCCCCAACGGGTGTCGGTTCTTCGAGCTATATGGCCGGCCCATTGCCACTTCAGCTTACCAATCCGTTGGGCTATGTCGGTCAGTCTGGTTCTACTGCGGATATCCTCATTTCTAAGTTTATCACTTACATGTTTCTTGATTATTTGGATAATTTTGTTTTTTTGTTAAAATAAATAATAATTATTGCTTTTGCATACAAAATATAAGTACTATATTTAATCAGTGCAATACAAGGTGGATTACTAAACACGAATCTATAGTTAGTAGTTTTATTAACTAATATTTCATCATCAGACGATGTTAAAAAAAGATTCTATATCCTTCACCAATATGCCAGCGCAAAATCAAAGGAGATGTCATGTCCAACCCTAGTTAGTTAAAAGCGATGACTCGATTGTTTAATTTAGTATAAAAGCGTAGTTTTTGCGGTAAACTACCGTGATTGGGTGTCAGTTTTTTTAAAACATCTTCAGGGCGGCTCTCCTAACCAACCAACGATGGATGACAAATGATGTTCAAATGGAATTCGTTTAGACATCCTTGGGGAAAGACCAGAATACACGAGTTTCCAAAAGCTTTTCATTAGCAATTTTTTTTAAAAGATTTGGAGACAGAGTTGTACCGCAGTTTAAAGACATTAAGACGTTGTAATTTCTTATCGAGTGCGCTAGTATTTGCTACCCGGGACGTCAGTGCGACAGTCCAGGCTTGGTAGCACTCTTGCTTTTGAATAAAAATAATTTTAAGGGTTTGATTGCGTTAAATTTAACATATTTTACTTATCTGTAATTCCCGATAGCCATCCGGAAGAGAAGTCAGCAGAAGATCCAGAAGGGATGGTACATGATCATATTATGCTAAGGCAGTCGTGAACAGATTTCCTCGCGTGATAACTGTCTATATAATATAATAACCTTGACTGGTAGGCGTACAGAGCAAATTTGTTGTAACCCAACTCAAATTAAGGGCAGCTGGACATCCACTCTCAAAAAATGTGGAATAACTTGGGCGTGGATGCTTTGTGACGGGTTTTCTAGGATCATCGGTCTTGGTATCCTCTTAGAGTAGATCTTGATTTAACACCATATATATGTTATTGAAGGGGGGCGGGGTGAAGGGTCACCTACTCACCAGGCGAAACGCAGAAGTATAAATACTTCGACTTCACGCTGGTTTTCTGTCTGTTTCTAGTGTTTCTATGAAATGGATAGAAGGTAAAATTAAAAAGAAGAAAGTGTTTTTCTTTAAAAACAAGTTTACTATATTAGAAAACGAAACATGTAATTTCATGAAAAACAACCGATTCCATAATATTTCATAAGAACTTCATCATTAATAGTAAACTTGTCCGCAATTAGTCAAAAACTGGTCGGCAAACTCCAAGCGCATCAGGTTTGTATCCAATGGGACATTGGTTGGGGATACTTATGATATTTTTATCAATATTAGTAATATCCAGCCATTGAAGCGCTTCTTCCGCATCAAAAGCTACTTGCCGCTTCTCACGCTGATGTGTGATGGCTGAGTGAATGCGTTCTATTATATTAGCCTCCTTTTTACTTTCACTGAAACAATGTGAAGTAATTAAAATACACTCTGCTTCAAAGATAAAACACAGTATTTAATATATATATATACATATATATATATATTGATATTAAAGCGTGTTACAACTTACTAAACTACAATTCTACTAATCTATTTAATTAATTCTACACTGCTCTCTACTCTACTCTAGCTCCTCAAACAATGTTGTAAAACGAACACAACAATATGTGCGCTAATACTATGAGAGTGTGTTGGGACGTTACCATTTTTACACCACACTATATTTTTTGCCTATGAAACATTCCGAACTTTTAGTGATATAGCAGATATTTGATGAAATTAATTCAACTATTGACTGACTTACGTTGACCTCGTTCACTTTTGATTAAAAAAATGAACATTTTGAATAAACTATATATTAATATGTGAAAACTTGGGGATGTTTTGCATATTGCGCACACGGGCATAGGGAGTTCAGAAAGCTACACTTTTACATATATAATATGTATTACAAATACATTAAATTAAACATACATTGTTTACATTCATACTGCTATTGTCAAACACATAATAATCTGTGCTCAAACAATCGCACAGAGTAGGGATTGTATATATATATATATATATATATATATATCTATATATAATATGTAACGTAATTATTGCACTTTGAGAAAGTAGTTTGTTCAGAATCAGTTCAGTCACACTAAATCTATACAGTCAAAACAAACTTAAATGGACCATAACTTAAGGCAACAAGACTTTTAAGAGTGCAGTTTTATTTGTGTTATTACTAATTCTGTCATTCAATAAAAATAAAGAAAAATGAACTTTATTTTAAGCACGTTAAAGTCTTTGCGTTCGTGGATTTGTACTGTGACCACAACATTCTTCCGGAATTAGTGTAACTAATTTTATAAATAATCATCATCATTCACTCATTCATTACAGCCCTTCACAAGTCCACTGCTGAACATAGGCCTCCCCCAAGTAATGCCACAAAGCACGGTCCTGAGCCACCTGCATCCATCGACTTCCTGCATGTCTTACCAGGTCGTCACTCCATCTAGTGGGGGGTCGCCCTACACTACGCCTACCGGTACGAGGCTGCCACTCGAGAACCTTTCTTCCCCATCTGTTATCGGTTCTTCGAGCTATATGGCCGGCCCATTGCCACTTCAGCTTACTAATCCGTAGGGCTATGTCGGTAACTCTGGTTTTACTGCGGATATCCTCATTTCTGAGTCTATCACGCAGAGAAACTCCAAACATAGCCCTCTCCATAGCTCGCTGAGCGACCTTAAGCGTCCTCACACGGCCAGCAGTGAAGGACCACGTCTCAGATCCGTAAGTCATCACTGGCAACACGCACTGGTTGTACAATCTAGTTTTTAGAGATTGAGGTATACCTGACGAAAAGATATGTCGTAATTTCCCGAACGCTGCCCAGCCGAGTTGAATCCGTCGATTGACCTCTCGGTCGAAGTTGGACTTACCTAGTCGGACTATTTGTCCCAGGTAAACGTACTCGTCAACAACTTCGAGCATAGTGCTCCCAACAACTACCGGCATAGGTGTGACATGGACATTAAACATGATCTTTGTTTCGTCCATGTTCATCTTAAGACCTATCCGTTGGGAGGCACTATTGAGGTCATTGAGCATAATGCTTAAGTCCTCCAGCGATTCTGCCATAATGACTATATCGTCGGCAAATCGAAGGTGAGTGATGTACTCGCCATTGATGTTAATACCGTATCCTTTCCAGTCCAGTAGCTTGAATTGAACTGTGACGTAATAAAAAAACTGCGGTTGCCAACCCGCTCGCCAAGCGTGGCAACTATGGCAAATACCCCCCAATGAATATAAATAATCAGTGCATAAAAATGTTTAACTAAAAATTCAGTCTATGTATTATGATTATAACATAATATACTAATTGGGGTGTCTGAGGGTGTGCGTTAATTACGTTACATATTGTATACATATATGTATATATGCTACAATAACCAGCCTTTGCAGAGAAGGTTCAGAATACGTAATATAGGCAAATATTGAAAAAAAAAATATATATAAAAAAGTCTCAAATGTTCTGTCCTTTTTATCTTTTAAATTCAAAATGCGTGGTAATGCAGTATTAAACACTATGTACTGATTTTACTATACACGCATGTTTCTTCGGGAGCACTCGCGCGGAAGTCAAATGACGAGTGCGACCCTGTATATACCTGTACTGTATACACTCGTTTATTCACTTATATTTAGTACGGAGGTGGGCAAAATGTATCATTTTTGCGATTCGAACATTTGCATCTCTATCACTAAAATGTTCCGAAACACTGATATGTTTCATTTGGCTCATTTGGATCATCGACTCAAAAGATATAAAATACAGAATGTTACGAATACATTAAGTTGCGTCGCGGGCATTTATTATTGACTGGTTCAGTTAAATGTTATGTGGTAACAATGCTGAATGATTTGAATGTTTAGGTTATTTTTATTATATATTATATCTGTAGTTATTTTTATTTTATTTATTTTGTACCGTAATAAGGTTGTACATAAAATTGATCCTCTTTCATACTTTATCCAGGCTTAGGACTGGCGGCTTGTCCTTGATTTATGGCCAGCTGGCATATTATTTATGATGAAAAGGAAGAAAATAAGTCACAATAATCATCATCACTACGCAAAGAAAACCTAAATAGAACTCAGTATGTTTTCATAAACAGGCGAAAACGAACATAAATAATTTGACAAGTTCCGAATCAACGTAAAATGACAAGTTGTTAATGCACACATTATATGCAAAAAACGACCGTATAGTATTTGATACGTAAGCGTCTTAGTCGTTATCTTTACGTGCATGAATAACTATAGCAAAAATCCGTACGAATTGAGTGATACACTTCTCATTTGTTATCTCTTTCTGACTTGTATAGATTGTAATTATTTCGGCCGCTCACTCATCACTCGACGCGACTCGTTTAGTCGTTACTCAGTCGCCTGGCGAGAGAGGCGCGTCGCGCTATGATAAATGGGCACAGAGCAAAGGGCACAGACCAGATCCAAATAATGCATTTCAAACGTTGTTACTGAACCAATCTTTTGGATCACTTAGTGATTCGGATCAGTGAGTCGGTTGCGTAAAGATTTACAACAAATACTATAGAAAACCTACGTGTTTTATAAAGTATTTGGTTACACACGCCTATTTATGTATCGTACGATTGTAAACGCCGAGACGTCACGTCGGACGCATTACAAGTTAAGGCAGCTGTTATGCGCTATCAGTTATTATAATAACGTGCACATTGTTGGATGCTCATTATGCATCGAAATAGAACAACGAACCACAGTTCAAAGAAGTTTCTAAACTGTAGACAAACGGTGCGAGAATGTAGAATGACCTTAGATTGAATGGTCTAAGACAGTGACGCACTCGCGTGGCCTCACGAGGGTAAGCGAGACCCTTTGACTCGCGCAAAAAAATCCGACTCGGAACGGAGGACAGACGAGGCGAGACAGACAAATAGAGATGGAGTGAGTGTAGCATGTACACTCTTGCACTTGTCAGGCTTCGCGATGCCTAGAGGAGAGTGTACAGTCGGCATAAAAAACTTAAAGAAGAGCTCAGAAATTGCGACCATTCAAAGATTGCGCACTAGGTTACGGCCAATTCTCCATAACTCCTCTAATCGACTGCGGATCGAAACAAAACACCTAACCGTCCATTAAGTAGTGACATTAGAACTTGCCTATACCTCCTTAATTCAGGAATGAATTAGATAGAAGTGTAGAATACACTTTGTAGGAGCCATTTAATTAATTCCTGATATATAATTGATATATATTTAATGTGGTATATTTAAAAAAAATCAAAACAAACAATCTATGATGGCGTATAACTACAAGTTGCTTCATTACTGCAACAAACAAGTGTAATTTTCTTCTTGAATCAGCATCTGTGCACAATCCGTGAATGACGAAGGTAGAAAGGCATTGAAGCAAATGAGTGGTAATAAAAAATTTAATACATTTTCGTAAAGATTGCAATAAATAAATATTGTAATCTTTACGAATATGTATATAGGTATATTGCATTCACCTATAGTCATAATTTTGTGTCTACATTTCCGTGATTTCCCCTTTATCAAATATTATAAGACGGCGATTTATCGGCGATCTTATTACGTGATTATCGCCCTCTTTAGAAATAGGATCGAATAGAAGTGGCATTATATACCTTTAAACGAGCAATTCTTGTGTATATATAATCAGAATCTCGGAAACGGCTCCAACGATTTTCATAAAATTTTGTGTGTAGGGAGTTTTGGGGGCAATATCGATCTAGCTAGGATTTATTTTTAGAAAATGTCTTTTTGTCCCTGTTTTTAGGCAATGAAAAACTGCAACAATATCGTTACAATAAGAAGGTAAATTTTGACATTTTGTTAATAATTATAAATAGCTTAATTGGTATATTGGGCGGTTCCAAAATCGTAATACCATGGTTCGAGCCCAGACCGACCAACCGTCTTTTTTAAATGTTTTTTTTTCAAGTTCCTTTCTTTTTTGAGAAAATCAATTTTTTCGAGCCCTTTTTTTAGTATTTTTTTTTAAAAACACGAAAATTTAAATTAAACTAATTGCACTCATGATTTTTTATTCAAATAACCAGTTCAGTTTTTTCTATTATGTCGCTAAGATCAAAAAATATTATTCGTATTTCATCAGTATGTAATTTTTATCTAAATATAATTTCCAAAACACACGAATTAAAAAAAAACTGAGCGAAAAATACCGAGCAAAGCTCGGTCAACCGGGTACTTCTTCTTTTAAAGTAAAAAATTCTTTATTCTTTTCGAAAAACGTTGGTTGATTAGAAAATATCGGCTATGTAACGAAAGCATCTCATAACATTTGATTTCGAATGTATATTCGTTAAGTTCATCTTTTTATTTGAACCCCACCGGTTTTAATTGAAGACAAAATATTTTATTGGTTGGCATTACTATTACTTAGAATACTCAGAATTATGAAGATGCCAACTAATGCCAGAAATAAATGGATTTTCTTTTCTAGCCGGAGGATAAAGAAGTGGTAACGTGAAGGAGAAACGTGAAATAGAAACAGTCGATCTTTCTGAGCGAGTGTATTATAGAAATTCAGTTAAGGAATATTTTATCACATTAGAGATTCTCTACTCCCCGGCCACACACTCGTCAAGAGGCATGGGAAGTAGCGAGGAAAGGAGGCAGAGACGAAGTGTGGCCACAATACTCGTCATGCCATAGGTCATGCTTGTCGTTTTGCCCATCGCTTCCTGTTTTGTCGGTTTTTAGGGCGCGAGTCAAAGGATTGACAATATGAGCGCGAGTGGCTTTCAACACACTCGCGCAAATACAGTCCGAATCGAGCGCCCCGTACACGTCATTTGTCATTTAAAAATCATAAATAGTGCACCTATCATCATCATTCAACCATGTCACATGAGCAAATAATATACAGAGAAAAATCTCGACGACGACAATGTATATTTCTTTTTATGACATTGATATAATTAGCTATAATAAATGTGCATAGCTCGCACGCTGCAACAGTTTCAACATCCATTGTGTTGCAAACGCGAGAGACCTAGTGCGGAGCGACGCGATTAATTGCGCGAGTAGAAAAACATGCAGGACAGAAACACACGTGGACAGGCAGGGCAACATCGTGGCAGCGCGAGCAGAGCGAGAAGAAGCGTGAGGAGCGTAGTGTAACCGAGCCATTCAAGTTATAATTTAAAATATCTATATAAATATTAATTGCATTTGGTTGTTATTCCTCTATTTATTATCTTTTTAATATTGATTAAATATAAATCCAGATGGTATGGATAGTATCGCATTTTGTCGCAATGTGCGATGGTGAAAGTGAGCTCCTGGAATTAGGCCGAACAACTGAGGAATTGTTTGCACACGCCGTGATGGATGTGAAAAAATACGCAAAGAGGTGCAACATCTCTTTGCAGTGCCAGTGAGTCAAGTCGATCAGAAAGAGCTCGGTCGCCGACGAATTGAACCGCTCTGCACTGTACGTGATAATATGGAAGAAGCTGATTCTGGCGAGCCCCAGCCCAGAGATGGGAACAATATTCCATGTGAGGCTGAACCTGCGCCTTGTAAAGTTTATGGTACTAGTGGAACTCTGCACGAAAAACCGCCAATTCGGAGAGCGTGCGGTAGCGTGAGCAGCAGTAGCAAGGGCAGGAAATGATCCATTTACATACTCGTGCAGCCCACTTCCATGCTCATGCATGAAATTAGATAGATATATGAAGTAGTTACCACGAGCGACATTTTTTAATATTTCTGGGCTTAAGTGTAGAATGTCGTGAAAGTTTTTACAACTGGCAAATTTTTTATAATCGGCAGCAAGTACAGTGATGAGGCAATAAGTTGTTTAAAAACTACTCTTAATAGCTTATCTGCTAGGAGTGATTAGGTACTCTGGAAATTCCAGTCACAGAGTACTTACGTCAATACAATAGAAAATTGGCACAACCAACAGTGCGATTGTGTGAATCGTGGTTGGTTTACTATTGGTGTTTGATCTTTGGCTTTGTTGTGTATCAGTATCGCCTTTAAGCCTTTATTATACGTCTTTTTCGTATCAATTTATTACTTCACGCTACTCAGAATTAAATTATAATACTTTTTGTTATTTTTCTAATTATTATATAGGCAAATATTTTTTATGTTAATCTAGCATACGTTTCTAAATTCTGAAAAACCACAATGTTTTTCAGAAATTTTAATGTTGAAAATGTATTTTTATGTAACCATCATAGATACGAGATTTATGAGAAAAAAAATCCTCAAACACATTATGAAATGTATGTGCTCAGACAAAATAAAAAGTGTGGTGTTGTTTTATTTTTAGAATTAAAAACTTACGTTTCTTTAGCCATGAATGGTATAGGACTTGTTGCTTTTAGTATCCAAATATCATGACATACTCCGTTGATCAGCTGTTGACCATCTGGACAGTTCGTTGGAACTGACACCATATTAAGAGGCGCCTTATCCTTGTTACTCTGAACACTGGCAAAACAATTATTAAAATATTATTACATATTCATGAACAAATTTAGAGGAACGCATAAACAAAAGGTTTAATTCCTCCCGTTGTAATTATCGTGAGTACTGGGCCACAAGCTGGATATTACGTAACTGAGAATTTCAAAGAAATTGTGGTGGTTTTATGTATGATGCAATGCATGTCTCCATAATGTATATCCGACGACTACGGCCTGTAGATGTCGAATACCTCCGAAACGTTAAAATCAATGCTAAAGAGTGGCCAGTGCGCTCGCCCGGCTTAAACCCCATAGAGCATTTTTGGGAAAAACTTGGAAGACAAATTAAGAAAACAAATCCTGCCCCCGCCAATTTGAGAGATTGTAAAAACGCATTATAAGACGAATGGAACGCAAACTCTAAAGATTTTATTGATAACTTGATTAGGAGTATGCCACGGAGACTGGAAGCTGTTCGCAAAGCTAGAGAGAGCAACACTAAGTAGGTACTGATTATAACCCCCGCACCCATTATAGTCTTTCCTAAGCGTTTATAAAAAAATAATAAAAATGTAAAAATGTAAGAACAAAAATGTTTCTTTCTTGTAAAATTTTTCTTTTTTCTTAAGTTGATTAATGTTTTTATTTTCATCGTTTGTTTTTTCGATGTTTGAAATTATAAATTAACGTATAATAAGCATAATTAAAATTAATAAACTTAAATTTTCACAAATATCCATGATATTTTGTTTTATACACACTTTTTGTGTACCTCTAAATTTGTCCAAGAGTAATTTACGCTGTTTACTCACTATCAACGATTGATTACGTTACCAATGTTTTCTTACTTGGAACATATAATACCTTAATTAATTATTCGACCTCTTACTTACAAAATACATATGTAATAACTTACACTTCTTTTGCTGCCATCATGAAAGGATTAGAAGGATCCAGTCTCCAAATATCGTGGCAAACTCCATTGATAAGTTGTTGACCTTCGGGACAATTAGTCGGAACTGTTACCATGTTGTGTGGTATATTTTGTATGTTAGGCTGTGCATAAGCCAATGAAACAATAGCCAGTAAATGCGCTATGTAATACATTTTTTCCTTTTAATTTCAAACGCAAAAAAAATTGCAACACTAGTACTTGTCAGCGAATATATACTAATTGATTAAGATATTGCATACAAATATATCAAGTTGTCCCTTTATTATAAATCAGTAGATAAGCAGGTTGCGTATAAGATAAGCTATCTGATTGGTGTGCTTGTGTGGATTAAACAACAATTCAATAGAGAAAACAACTTGTTTTAAAGACAAAACCCGATTTATATATTATAGCATATATGCTTGAGTATGTAATTTCTTCGATTTAATTTTACTTTCATGCTATCATAACCATAACAACATATTGTATGTAAAGGTTTGTGAAGATGTTTGGATATTTATGGCATATGCCGTGGCTATGCAATACTTTTACCACGTCAGCTTAAAAGTTACCACTTCAAATTAAACATGTGTAGTGTTTTTTTTCTATCCACATGGAACTGCAGTTAGAAGCTAGTTACAAAATAAAAACGTAGGTTATACCATAATGCAAATCTTGAAAATATTATCAAAATTGTCTAACTGTAAAAGCTTATTTTTAATATTTCGAGGGCAATTAATTTTGGTAAATCCATATGAAACCATTAGACAGGTTTTACCGTTAGTTTTAAAACAGTTGCTGTTATGATTTACCGTTGACCTACCGTCTAATGTGATGACTGATGTTTGCAATTTGGATGAAATTGTCATTACCCTCTTGCAAGTTCCATACTTCTTTCAACGAGTTTATTAAGAGAATTGTTATCAATTTCCTTTCTAATAACCAATTTTTACCCTAACCAGGTTTTTTGGCATTTTCTGCTCAACATCACTATCAAAATCCTTAAAAGTTTTTTTATGAATATCCATTTTATCTCGTCTGTAAACCTGTACTCTCTGAGGGATAAACACATTAACACGGTATAGGATATATTTTTATATATAGGTATATTTTTAATAACATTTACCAACTAAAAAGTACTAGACACTTTAAAATGTTTTTAATATCAAATTGTTAAAAAAATAAAAGAAAAAATAAAGTGGGTCGGTGGAAAAAATTGAGTTGAATAGAGAGAGCGAATTTTATACTTAGAGTAATTGTTCTTTTTTGTTGAAAACCGCTATTTAAAGATATTTTTGATCAACTTGGGTTGATTGTGATAATTTGACATTTTGTTGTAATGCAACGTCGATATTTACCAGAGAAGTGATGTTAAGAGCAGTGGGAATTCGGCAGGCTAGTGCTTTTCAACGTGATGTCCCTGCGGTAATAGGCTCCAAGCAAAATGTGATTTCGAGGTTGTGGTCACGCTATCGTGGCACGGGGAAGGTGGCGGAGCATCATCCAGGACCAAGCCGCATTACTACATACCCAAACAAGTGGTGGTCAAGGTTTGGCTAAGAGCAGGCCTCTGTTACTCTTGCTACCTGCGTAAAATAATTATCTACAATCGCTGAGCCGTATACGCAGTCAGGGCTAGCGCGTTATGTAGGTGATTGAACGTACGTACGTTACCTAAATAGTTTTTTTAAATACTTGTTGAAATAGTTTTTGTTTAGTGTTTAGTTTTTTTATATAGGAGAGCGGGCAAACGAGCATACGGCTCACCTGATGGTAAGTGTTTATCGCCGCCCATAAACGACTGCAAACCAGGGGAATTGCATGTGCGTTGCCAGCCTTTTAAAAAGGAGTAGGCTCTTTTCTTGAAGATCTTTAAGTCGTATCGGCCCGAAAAAATCTCTGGTGGTAATCGATTCCACAAAGAAGTTGTGCGAGGAAAATAACTTCTTTTAAATTGCACAGTTGGGAGCCGTCCGTCATTCAGATGGTATGGTTAGTACCGCGATGTGTCGCAATGTGCGATGGTGAAATCGTGCGACTGGAATTAGTCCGAACAATTCCTTAGAGCAGTCGCCATTGTAAATGCTATAAAATACGCAAAGAGATGCGACGTCTCTTCGCAGTGCCAGTGAGTCAAGCCGATCGGAAAGAGCTCGGTTGCCGACGATTCGAACAGCTCTGCGCTTTATGCGATCAAATGGAAGGAGCTGGCACTGGGTAAATATTGGCACTGGGTAAATATTGTAAATATAAATAATTAAATTCTGTCCCACACTGCTGAGCACGCCATGCTTTTAACACGCCAATTTGGCCTTCTCTTCCAAGTGACCACGAAATTGCACGTCTCTCGATATGTCGACGCCGCAGATTTCGATACTGGCTGAGGCATCAAGGCACAAGTTACAAGGCACTCTGCCTTGAAACTGAGGAGATGCGAAGGGATTCTTTTTAGTAGGGGAACCTGTTGTACCTAGAACAGTTTTTTGGATACCCATTTTTTATTGTGATTTGACAATTTGTATACAAACCATATTTGCATATTTTGAAAGGTCAATTATTTGAGTATTCACCACCAAAATATTAGGAATGTGTATTTCATACTTACGTGTGTTTTCGAAATTAAAAAAAAATGGTAACAAAGGCCAAGGTACAACACACCCTATGTACCTGGGACAGTACTACGGTGTACCTAGGACACAACGAGAATTTGGGGGTAATTTAAGAAAACTATTAACTTTTCATATCTAAAATAGTTTTAGGAACCTTCGTATATAAATATAACATAGTCTCCAATATTGTAATGAAAAATATACAAAATTTGTCATACACAAAGTTAAAAAATTTTATTAAACTAAGTTTGTATAAAAAGGGTTATTATGATATTAAGGAATTTATGGATGATAATAACCCCTGGGAAAGGTGATCGCTACCAAACTATTTCTAATTTGTCTCGTGTTGTTAATTGTAAACATGATTGTAAGCTATTAATTGAAAAAAAAGTTCCACTGGGTTACTTGCTGGTTCTTTCCAGGTCAGAGGTTATTTTGCGAACCAGTGGTAAATGAAAAAATTGCCTTTCAATAAGTATTGTTTATAATCTACATTGATAAAAAAGTTTCTGTTTCTGTTTCCATTATCTTTTGCCATTTGTATTGTCGGTACTGAGATATGACTTTCATGATTGTCCATTATGTGAATGATAGGTTGTTCTTTGGTAGGTTTTGCATATTTGATAAAATTTTGGAGGAATTTAACAAACATTAACTTGTTTGACCAACCAGATGGATTCGCGCCTTCAATGCTGCCTTCAGGAGCTCCAATGATCATAAAATCCTTGAAGTTAACACGAGGGAATATCAACATGGGTGGGAAAAAACCTCCACCTGCATTAATAGCTGCTATCATAGTTATCGTCGTGCGTCTTTCAGCGCTAGACCCTATTTGCTTCGCGCCTAGAGGAGCCTGTACTTTTGGAGGAACATGGATAGTGGACAATCCGGTTTCATCCAAACTCCAAATGTCAATGGCTTTTATGTCAGAGGACATTGAGAAAGGACTTTCTTAAAATTGTCAAATGTTAAACTCATAGTATGTTTGTTAAACGCCGAAGAAAGAACCAAACTAGTGGCTTCAGGCTTTCTCAAAGACAATTCGTTTTGATATCGCTTCCTAAACAATCGCAGCCAATAATCTCCAGCCATTTTATTTGTATCGCAGCTTAGAGTATTTTTCCGTTCGCTTTTGATAATTGGTATGAAAGTATTTTCACGTCTTTAGGAGTCAATCCAAATTGCGTTGAGTGTTGAGTTGACTGAGTGCTGCATCTTTAATATAGTCAACCAGACTATGTTCTTCAATACGATCAAAAACTTGATTAACTGCAAGGTTTTAGTGGAACTTGCTTACATCCTTACCTATTTCCATACAGTGTTTTAGATGACGACGCAAAGTTGTTCTTGGTATTCCGAAATGTTTGGAAGCAGCGAAGGTTGAGAATTTTTCTCCTTAATCATTTTAACGGCATTTGTCAGATTATCCATATTAACTGGCGTTCTTTCCTTCTTCTCTTTGCTTATGAAATAATAAATGTATTTGAATAGGAATATATTACCTGAATGTAAAATAATTATAAAAAAAAATTCTATATAATATATTGGCCAAAGTACAACTTCCAGGTTATACCTTGGCCACTGACCAAGGTAGAACTGATCGACAGTGAGTCGCTGTCAGGGACCGAGGTACAACACTTTTTTTTTACAGGGGCAAATCCTCATGGACTGCCTCTGCCTGGGGAAAGGCGGAGGGGTGTGCCGGACTCTTACCGGCTAAAACCACCCCGGTGTCTTCTCGCACTTTCACGCGAGGGGCCGCGGGAATCCAAATTCTTCCGCAGCCCCACACTAGTGCTGGCCCGGTCTGTACGGGCCTCGTCTCCTGCACGGGGTAGTGAGGTGTTCAATTACCCCCCGTGTATTACCTCATAGGCGCGCGCCGACACCCACGCGTGCCTCCGCCTCGGGTCCATCGAATAGGGGGCGGGGGGCTTCCCCCTAGTCCCTCGCCCCTGGACTCATTTATGGGGGCTGGAAAAGGGCGTTGTCCGCCCTTCTCCTGCACCCGGTGAGTGTGTCGAGATGAGTGGAGTCGAGATGTACCTCTCCCGTTCCGCAGTTTCCTTCTCCGACATCACGTCCTCACAGAAGGACACCACTGCATCCCACGATTCTGCGCTACCGACCATCCTCCGCACCAAGGCCGACAGCGACAGATCGCCTCCTACTTCATTTGTGAGGACACGGCGCTGCTCCTCCCAAGATACACACTCGGCGAGCGTGTGTTGCGCCGTGTCCTACCCGCAATGGACGCAGTGGTGGCACCGAGCGTCCGGCGCCCTGTCTATGCGGCACAGGTACTTGCCAAAGCAGCCGTGCCCCGACAGCACCTGCGTCACCCTAAACGACAGGGAGCCGTGCCTTCTCCCGAGTCAGTCGTCTAGTACTGGCCGGATCGCCTCGACGATAGCGAAGCCGGCGGTAGTGCGCAGAAGCCTTTGCCGCCATTCCGCCACCAAGACCTGACGGAGCTCCTCTCGGCGCAGCGCAATCTGTCGCTGCACCGGCCTCGAGCCCCGTCCCCGCTCTTTCTATCGCCATCGATATAATGACGCGAGTACTTTCGCCTCTAGGTCCCAGGGTGGGGATCCGGCCAGGACGCAAGCCTCCTCGTAGGAAATCGTGCGATACCCGCAGATGACTCTGACGGCCATCGCCCTCTGCGGTTTGCGCAGAATGGCGAGAGTGCTGGCCGTCATGTCCATCGCCCATACAGGGGCCCCATACAGGGCCATGGACCACACGATTCCCACGTACAACCGCCTACAGGCGGCGCTCGGGCCCCCCCAAGTTGGGAAGCAGCGTTGAAAGTGCACCAGCTGCACGCATCAGCTTGGGCGCCAGCCGCCGGAAGTGGGGCCCAAATTCCCATCGGCTGTCGAGCACCAATCCCAGGGATTTCATGGTGGGCTCGACAGCTATCCGGGCCCCGCTGACCACGATGTGCGATCCCGGCGGCGGCGCGCGTCGAAGGCCATGAAACATCATGGCCTCCGACTTGTTAAGGGCCACCTCCAGGCCCAGGCACCGGATGCGGTTCACCACTTGTGAAACCGCAGCTGTGGCAACCAACGCTGCTTCCCTGTGCGAGCTCCTCCGGGCAGTGACGAGCGTGTCGTCTGCATAACAGGTCAAGTCAGCGCCCGACGGGAGCTCACCTCTCAGCACCCAGTCGTAGCCAATGTTCCACAAGAGCGGTCCCAAGACCGATCCCTGCAGAACACCGCACGACATGACGCGCCGACCAGCGCTGTCACGTTCCCAATACGTGACGCATCTCTCCTCAAGGTAAGCCCCTATTGTGCGGCGGAGGTAGGGAGGCACGCGATGGTAATTAAGCGCCTCCCGAATACAACTCCAGGGTAGGGTGCTGAAGGCGTTGGAGATGTCTAATGACACCGCCAGCACCACCCCACCCGGAATACTGTCTCCTCCGCCAGGGCCCTCACGCACGTAATAGCGTCTATGGTGGAGAGCCCGCGACGAAAACCAAATTGGTTCTCGTCCAGGTCTGGCCCCACTCTGCACAAGTGGCTGACGAGGCGATCTGCGATGATACGCTCAAGAAGTTTGCCCGCCTCGTCGAGCAGCACAATGGGCCGGTACGCAGACGGTGAGTCCGCGGGCCGCCCCTCCTTCCTGAGTAGGACCAGCCTTCCCTCCTTCTGGGAAGCTGAACCTGCTCGAGACATGCCGTGAAGAGCCCCCTCAGCTGGGGCTCCAGCTCCTTCAGAGCCAGGACGAGAGCTCGACCAGGAACTCCGTCGGGTCCGGGCGCTGTGTTCTTGGCCCGAAGTCGCGCCATGGCCGGTCTCATCTCTGCTTGCGTCACCTTGGGGACATCTCTCTCCTCCTCTGGAGAGTCTGTGGCTGAGGGCGAAGCGATCGCCGGGGGGAACGTGTCCCACTCGTTCAGGGAAGAGAACTGATACCACCGTCTCTAGCAACTGGGGTTGCATTGTTTGCGTTAGTGGAGGAGCCCAGGAACGCAACTTGCCCCGTACCCAACGGTAGGGACGCCCCCACGGATCCCGATCTAGGGACCCCAGCAGCTCCTCCCTGGCACGCGACTTCGAGTCGCCGATGGCCAGCCACAGAGTCTCCTTAGACGCGCGGTACACCTCATACAGCGCGTCCTCCTCGGCGGAATCCCGTCAACGCCGTCTACGGTATCGGGTGTACCGGCGACGGGCCGCAACGCACGCTATGCGCAATTGCGCGATCTCGGCGGTCCACCAGTACACCTGGTGCCTTGCGGACCGTTGGCGGACACGGGGCATGGACGCGTCGCAGATCTGCGTCATCGCCCCGCGAAACCATAGTGCCACTGATTCGACGTCGACGGGGTCGTCCGTTGCCGACTCCCAGATCCAGGACTGGACTAAGGCAGCTTCCTCGAGTAGTTCCCTGTCGATGCGCTTAAGCGCCCAACGCGGGCCGTCGTTGATCGGGGTAGTTGGATGGCGGCCTCTCGCAGTCTGGGCAGAGACGTCGAACCGAATATACCGATGGTCCGACAACGTCTCCACCCCTACGGCGACACGCCAGTCGCGGACTCGGCTGGCGACAAAGGGGCTAGCGAGCGAGACGTCCACTATCGACCCGCCTCGTTGCCGCACGCACTTGTATTCCGAACCCCGATTCAGGACGACCAGACCAGTCGTCACTGTCCACTCTTCTAGCACCTCGCCCCGAGGATCAGTGACCGGAGATCCCCACGCTGATGACTTTGCGTTGAGATCCCCGAGCACCAGAACGGGACGAGGGTGATAGCGGCCTACGACGGCGCCCAACTCGACAAGGAAACCCTCAAAGTCGGCGAGACTCTTGTTGGGGGAGAAATACGCCCCCACAATAACGATGCTACCCGAGACCGCAGCAACCCAGCCGCGGCCCCGAGACGGGTCGATCAGAGTCTCGCCAATAATGGCCACCAAACTGTCAGCGCATCCCAGCCAGTTGTCACAGGCGGGAATGAAGTACGGTTCGGCGACCACAGCCACGTGAATCGACCACTCTGCCATGCTCTGGAGTAGGAGATCCTGAGCTCTGGCACAGTGGTTGATGTTGCCCTGGAGAAAATGGAACTTTGCCATTATTGACATTCCATTCCCTCGGCAACGGTCCTGGGCCGGGAGTCGGCCGCGGAGCTACTGGCCTGTGTGGGCAGCGAGGTTAACTCGGCAGACTTGTTGCTCCTCTTCTTTTCTTTTTTGGCCTTGGACTTGCTGGTAGGCACCCCACAGGCCCCTCCGCCTACTCTGTGCTCCTCTGGCCTTCCCGCAGCAGAGCAAAGGCTGCAGTTGAACGCCGCGGTGCACAGGGCTGCGTTGTGGCCAGGCTGGCCGCAGCGGTAACAAAGGTCACTACGGTCAACCTCGGCGGTGCACTTCGCCCGGACGTGCCCTTTTTCCAGGCACCGGAAGCACTGCAAAGCCCGGGGCTGTAGTAGCTCCGTCCTTGCCGCCACCCAGCCTACCAGCAATCTGCCGCTATCGGCGATCTTCTTTGCCGACGCTACAGGACACCGAACCCAGACCGCGCCAAGTCCGGTGGCATCGGTGCGTATATCACCGGCCCGCACCTTGTCCGGTGGACACTCTCCGCTTCTGGCAACGGCCGCCACCACCTCCTCAGCTGTCACGGAGTCGTCCAGGCCAGCAATCCGCACTTCTGCGGGTTTCATTGGGCTGGAGACCCGGACGTCCTCAGGGTTGAGGACCTCTCTCATCTTGGCGGCCAAGGCGGCCGCCTTTGCGGCACTGTCGCTCACAGCGCCAGCCACCTCGAACAGCCGCGCACCCGTGGCAGCCTGCCTGAGGGTGACGGACTGAAGGCCAAGATCTGATAATTTGATCTTGACCTTGGCCTCAGCGATGATCGACTGGTACGTCACGCCACGCTCCACAGCTCCGGGCTGCAATGTTAGTGTCA